GCTCAAAAATGGGAAGATGTTGAAGAAGTTCGGAGAACTATGAGACACCGAGGAGTGAGAAAAGAACCAGGGTGCAGTTGGATTGAAGTGAATAAGCAAATCCATACCTTTATTGTGGGTGATGATTCACACCCACAAATAGATAATATTAAGAAACAGCTCAACCAGTTGATTCATGGATTAATTAGCATGGGCTATGTTCCAGACACAAATTTTGTCTTACACGACCTTGAGGGAGAAGAAAGGGAGGATTCATTGAGATACCATAGTGAGAAATTTGCAATTGCCTTTGGAATAATGAGCTTGTCCAAGGGGAAAACTATTCGGATCAGAAAAAACCTTAGGATATGTGGGGACTGTCATATTTTTGCTAAACTCACATCAAAGCTAGAAAAACGCACCATTGTGATAAGAGATCCCATTCGCTACCATCATTTCCACAATGGAATGTGCTCCTGCAGGGACTACTGGTAGCTCTAACACATTGTAAACATGTTCGAATTTTATGTTTGGAGGCTTGCGATGTGGTGGTATTCTTTCGCTGCTTCTTTACAATTATAACACGGCAGAGCTAAATGGAGAAAGAAAAAATGGGAACAGTGTAAATCTTTATGACAAAAACATGCAAGTTAATAATTGCAATGCCTCTGTACATACCCAAGAATCCTTTGTCCTTCTCTCCATCTTCCTCTTAGAGCTCCCTTTCTTTTTTTTCCCTTGTCTCAGGTTTCCATAGCCGTCACAGAACAATCTCTCACTTCTCTATTCTGATATTTATTGTAAAATGATTTTTTTGAGAGGAAAAAAGAATTTCCATAAAAATCCTTTACACAAAATACAACATATATATGCTGTTCCCAAGATCACTTCATGGACAGATAACCTTTCAACAAAATATTACTATGAGCCTGGTTTTGTTATAGTTGAGAATTCCATTAGTTTTCATACTATCCTGCATTTGCAATTCTCTGTTTTGATTTTCTGTTTGATGCATCCCCAGGTAAAGTGACTGCTATTCTTTTATTTGCAGTTTACTTTGAAAGAGAAGTCTGATAAACATTTATCGTAGTGGCTTTTTCTTCTTGATCATTTTTTGCATCTTGTTTCCGATCATGATAACAGGGACGTTATTTATGTTTATACTCTCAGTTGAAGACTTTGATTCAAGTGTCGGTATCTGCCCATCTTTAAGTTCTGGAATCAACAATCTCTAATTCCTTTTGAGGTGAGCAAATGGCCTAGAAATCTCTATTTCTTTCTTCAAAAACTACCTAAAAGAGCGCCAGTGATAAGCAAATTTCTTCTACAACCTGTAGATCACCCCATGCCAACACCTCATCTGTTGCAGAACTGGAGACAGCACAAGAAAGATTTAGGTGAGATACCATAATCTTCTAACCTCTATGCATTAAAGAAGAAAATGACCGATGGATTCTTCTTCCTGCAGATATAAAGGGCAGCCAACAATAACTTTGTCTCTTACTTGAACAATCTTCTTCTACAACCCCTTGAACTACCCGGCGCCAACAAGTCATCTGTTACAGAATTAGGGACAACACAAGAAAGGTTTAGGTGAGTGACCTTCTAACTTCTATGCATTAAAGAAGAAAATGACTGAGGGATTCTTCTTCCTGCAGACATAAATGGCAGCCAACAATAACTTTATCCTCTTATCTAGTTGTCCATAGTTAGGTTTCTACCCCAAGCCGCTTCCCAAGCAAAGAAGCAATATGTCAGGAGGCCTTCTTCTATTCTAATATTTCTGTCGTGTTTCCAGAACACCATAAAAGTGGACATTAGCTTCATTTCTAGATTGAGTTCCTCTTGCTGGTGTATTTAGTCCAGGCCTCCATCTGCCAACCACATCCATATGAGTTGGAATTGCTGATCCAGTTCCAGCTGAAATTTTATAAGATCTCTCTATCTCCCACCTTTTCCCCCAACCTTGCCCCACCACTTAGCAGCAGCAGGAGACAGTCAGACTCCTTACGGATTGTAAGCAGACCTCTGGGTAAGACCTTATTTCTCACTTCTCATCAACATGATCTGAAATTCAAACAAGTAAGTATCTTCATTGGAATTGCATATGTACAAAAAAAAAAAAAATTGAATTTAATATTTTGCTAGACTATTAAATTTTGTATATGGGTTACTCCTTGGTGCTTTGTGGATTCTATACATTGTCATTTTAAAAAATATTCCTCTTTTCAATTTGTGCACACCTGCCCAATGAAGTTGCTGCAGCTTTTATGTTGTATCATTCATTTGCTTAATTCATTAAATTAGTTGAACAGTTGAAATTGCCAAAATAGACAAAGTTATGATGACTTTAAAGGTGTTATACGCTGGTCTGGTGCCTCATAGATATTATGTGCCGCAAAAATTTTCTAATATTGATAGTAACTTAGTGACTCTGTGTAGTAAGTGCTTGTTAAACACATTAAATGGTTACTACACAAAGTTATTAAATAACTATGATGTTTTATTTCTGGCATCATTAGGCTATGTAGTGATGTTTTGGTTCAAAGTGCAAATAGTGCATAAAATGATTATGGAATCAATCTACTTATATTGATGTGTTTTTTGTTATTCATGACAGCTTGCGATCTCCTAAGCAAAGTTGCTATTCGGTTGACTCTTCTTTCAAAGGTTGGTTTATTTTTGCAAATTATGATGATAATCTTGCTAGAGAAGAAATGGGAAATGTTTGTAAGAATACCTGTCAAAGTTGTGACAGCTTGGTGACTCTATGACTTTTACTATTCGTTTTACTACGCTTGAGGGTACCATGGCGGAATAGTTGGTTTTTGGCATGTGATTTGCATCTTCTTTGATATTTTGGATGTTATTAAGTGACTACTTTTCCTCTAAAGACATATTTTATGTAATATGATAAAATGTTAATGATAAATTGGTTTACAATAGTGAGAAGTTAGTCAAAGCCAGGTTCACCATCTTTCGGCTCAAATTCCTGAGAAGGCTTGACCTAAACTTGTCCGTGGGCTGAGCTGGCCTACTCAAGTCTGAAAAAGCAGTCTGGTTGATGGTTTAGCTTGACACTGCACCTACGATTAAACCTAAATCTATTCTTTTAGTCCAAATTTTCTTCAAAAAATAAAAAAATAACCAACAATATTCAAAATCTAACACTTAAATAAATACCCTTGATAATGTTTTTAAAAATAAAATGAAAACAAGGGAAGTTGTAAATTTAAGTAAAATAAAATATTAAAATACTTTTTAAAATTAGGTATAGGAAGAATAATCAAATGTAAAATACATTAAAACTATTAATAACTTAAAATTCCAAAGAAATATAAAAGCGAACCAGGCCGAAAAGCCTTATAGGCATTTATGCCCTCGGTGCCTGTCTGGCAGGTTGGCGAGCAAACTAAAAGTTTCCTGTAGACGGATTTGCAATAAATTGAAAGAAAGTTGATTATTTTACAGAGCTCAGAAACTGACATGAGGAATTAGTGTTCTCCACAGGTGAATGTGAGATGCCAAGGCTTCCTTGTTATTGAGTAAGTGACCATAGGTGGAAACCTACTTAAAAATACAACTCCTGCCATGTCATACAGAGAACATAAAAACTGCAGGCAGGAACTCTTGAAGGTTGAACTATGGAGACCCCTCATAACTCAGTCTCTTGAGATGGCACCCCTTGTGTTCTCCACAGGTGGATGTGAGATCCCAAGGCTTCCTTGTTATTGAGTAAGTGTACATAGGTGGAAACCTACTTATACAACTCCTGCCATGTCATAGAGAGAACATAAGAACTGCAGGCAGGAACTCTTGAAGGTTGAACTATGGAGACGCCTCATAACTCGTCTCTTGAGATGGCACCCCTTGTGTTCGGAATGTAGGATGTATACGCCTTTAGTATTGACACGTATATATCGATTCCTTTCAAGTACTCCTCTTGGTTCAGAAACTGCAACAATAGAAAGGCTCAGATTTCATATGCCTATGTTTTCAAGACAACACAGTTTCTTGTAAACATTGCAAAGAACTAACATGAAAATCTATAAGAATTGAAACTTGAAACTATTTATTATGTCAGCGAGAGTATTTCGATTTGTTTATTGTTTTTAGTATTTTGGCATATATGTTTTCAAGTGAGTTTTAATGTTTTTTCTTTAATTTTTAGATTCTGATATATTATCATGTTAGTAAAACTATTCTTTCAAGTTAAAAGATTCAGTAAAATAATTAAAAAGAATGATTAACAGTCGTCTACACGAATATTTTACTGTGATATTTTGATCTAAATGAATTAAACAATCTTGATATGCAAGATAGAGAGATGTACCTCGTTATGGTCATGAAGCAAAATAGGGGTGTTTGTCATAGGAGAGAAGCCAATTGCTGGTAAGCCAAGTTTGCGAAAATAGCGGGCATCTGTTGATGCAGGAAAGATCTCGGGCTTACCAACCTTCCCATTAGCTTTCTTTATAGCTTCTTCTAATAATCCCCACCATGGATTAGAACTGTCAGTTGCTGTCATAATTGGCTTCCCATCTTTTTCAACAGAAACCTTCTGCTTAAACTGCCCAACAATAGTACAATCAGTTAGTGTCTGAGCTTCTCTGGCCATCTGAGATCCATGATTGGCCTAATTAAATATCTAGAGAGAGCGTAAAATCAGTTTTTTCAACCATACACTTTGTTTCCTCATGAAAAGAGTCCACCTTTGCACAATCGAGTAAGTTACAACTCTGAATTTGATAGATGTACAATAAGTCAAATAATAGCTAGAATGATTGTTTACTTTAGAATCAAAAGATTCAAAACAATGGCCAGTTCCAAGCTTCTCACATAGCTAGTTCTTTTCTGATTAAAATGCATTGTCGAATCATTTAAGGTAATTGATTCAATGATACAAGTCGAAACCTATTAAATGTTTTATAGTTATACTGAACCAAATACAGATTGGTTCTCAGCTTTTATGCAAGAGAAATTCTCATAGATTCTGAAACAAACTTAGGGTTGGTTGATGAGAACTAAAACAGCAAGAGCAGTTTATTACCTCAAAGGACATGTTTCGTGCCAGAGGTGCCCATTCCTCAGCTATACGTCTCTCCAAGGCTTCTGCATCAGCAGTTGGTGGAACTCGGATGTCAAAACCAGCTTCTGCTTCAGATGGCTGCAAATTCATAACAAAACCCTGCAGAGAGGGGGGTGAGGAGGGGGAGGGAGATACTTTCAGAGTCTAGCAGAAATACAAATGCCTTACATTCAAAGTGTGCATAATTGTCAAAGAATCTATATTACGAGTCCACTTTCAAGGGTTGTTAAGACATCTTTCATGGCATTCAATAATAAAATCATCGTAAAGTAAAATCATGTAGCAGAAATGAAATCTTTCATGGCATTCATAAATAAAATCATCATAAAGTAAAATCATGTAGCAGAATTGATAAAAAAGTTGCAGCCTTCCATGGAAATCACTTGGAGAAGAAGACTGAGGAAGAGAGCTTACAGTTGGAGAAGGTGTTCCAGCTTTCAGAAAAACCATGTTGACAGAAATCACTTCACCCTCAGCTTTCAAACCAGCCTTGACCAAATCAAACTGCGAGGCCCGGAACCTCCTCACACTCTCAATGCTTTTCAAGAGATTCTCCACGGCAGTATTGTCATAGAGCTTTGCTCCATGCCCAGGAGCCCCTCTAGCCTTAATCACCGTCCAACACGGACACCTTTCTGCATAGAACATCCTGTAATTCTCATTCGGCGAAGCCAACCCTGTTATCCAAATTCACCAAGAATGTCACGGACGATCCCCATTAATGGAATGTAGGGAAAATAAATCTCTAATGTGCAGATAATCACAACAAACTAGAACACAAATAAAAAAATATAAAATTTAACGTAGTTTGACAAGTATGCCTGCATTCCCTGCAAAATCTAAAATAAACTTTTCTACTATGATAGAACGGGAGTATATCACCAAGAAAGTTGTAAACCGACAAACTTCTAGAGTTTTCTCCCCGAAATATTCCTCTAGGTTGCACAAAATATCTCCCAAAATATGTACAAAATTTCTACATAATCAAGCCACATCAAGGACAAAAGTCAAAGACCAGTTATGATCAACTACCTTCGTCGAGCACAACGCCGACGTTCAAGTTCTTGAAGACATCGGATGATGCAAACTTCTCGGCGCCGTCGTGGCCGCCGATTTCTTCATCGGGAACAAAAGCTACGTAAACAGATCGGACCGGGTTAAACCCGGAAGACTTGAGCTTCCTGATAGCTTCGAGATACTGCATACCGACGCACTTCATGTCCTGGGAACCTCTGGCGTAGATGTTGCCATGGCCATCGACGTGAGCTTCAAAGGGATGGTGGACCCACTTCTCGTGCTCGACGGGCACCACATCGGTGTGGGAATAGAGAAGGATGGAGGGGAGACTGGGGTTCGACCCGACCCATTTCACCAACACTAATGGCTTCCCTTTTACGAGCTCGACGATCTGGGATTCGAGGGAGATAGATTCAGCCTGAGAGGCTATGAAGTTTACTGCTTTGTGGTAATCTGGGTTTGGCTGAGCTGTGTTGATTTGAAGGTATTGCTGGAATCTTGAGATTATGGCTTTCGGGCCGTTTTGCTCATTGGCTGTTACTGAATTTCTGAGTATTATAAGTGAAGAGATTAAGCATAGACAAAGAAGATGATTACTGAACCTTGCTGCCATTGTTGGATTCTTTCAGAGGACCAGACGGCTGAGTGCAGACGGCGAAGGAAAAGTGATTGCAGATGGCAAGTGGTAAATGTTGGTGAAATAGATAAATACAGTAATTTATAGAAAGTCTAATTATCATGTAAATTAAATAATTATTATTCGCTGAATTTTAAAAAAATTATACAAAATTTCTATATTAAATTAAAATTTTAATTATAAATCTAAAAATATTGATTTTAAAATTTATAAGTTGAATACAAACAAAATCACAATCCAAAGTATGTCCCCACTAGAGAAACGAGAGGTAAAGAGAAACCAATATAGATGAAGCTAGCGGCTTTGACAAACCACACGATTCTCGTCTCTCATTCCACTCTCTCTCCCTCTCTACCTCTATATTTCCACTTGCGCAGGGAATGTCTGTAAAGCTAAATCCCAGTTCAAGTTTCCCATTACTTTCGAGTGAGACCTAGATTTTTATATACGTTTCTTTCGGTTTATTGCAGAATTTTCATACTACTGGTATAGTAGACTGGAGTTCAAGAACAGACCCACTTCAAAAGTTGAGCTTTTTGTTGATGAATTTTGCCGTATTGGGATTAATTCTACCATTTTGATCTAAAAATTTCAAGTTTTTATGGTATTCTGAGATTGAACTCCCAGTCACCCACTTATTAGATCAAGAAACCCACTTAAATTTTGATCCAAATTGCTAATTTTATCTGCCAAAGTTTCTTTCGTTGTCGCTTCAGAAGAAAATCTTACTCGAGAATTGATTTGTTGTGGTGTTCTGAAAGGGATTAAAGCATGTTGTTTCTGAAATTCAGTTTCTTTGTCCTAAATAAATGAGTTTTTTATTAGCCTGTTGAAATCTGGATGTTGTTTTATTTTTGTTTTTGTTTCTAAATTGGGTTACTTAATTTGTTCAACTTCTTTTGCGGTTGCTTCTAATTTTAAGCAGGGGTGAGAATTTGATTAGCTTTTGGGATTGAAAACTGTTGAAATGACAATGTTGCCTGTCTGCTCAGCTACTGCCTGTCGTTCTTCTCATTCTCAGGTGAATTTCTCAGTTTGAGTCGCTGCTCCCATTTTAGTTCCATATTATCAAGCATCTTCCCGCTTGAGTCTGGAAAATTTCCCTGTTTCAATGGAAAATACTTTTGTACATAGCAGTATAAAATATTTGGTCACCTGGGTCGGTATTTGGTTGTTATTTATTAATTTTTTTCTTTTTTGAGCCTTTTCCCATTCACATTGATTGTAACATTGTTAGTGTTTAAAGGAGGAATTCAATATACACTGACACATAAAACTATCTGATTGCTCTTTTACATTTGTTCATAACCCATGTTTCCTCCTGAGTGATGAAGCTTAGGTGTTAGGTTAGAATAGGAAATGAGTTATTATAGTATGGTTAAGTTCAAGAATCATCAAAGCACACAGTTTTTTTCTGCCATCAAGAGGACATTTCTTATGCTCCTAGCCCTTGAACCAATATTTCAGACAGTCAACGGTTAATCAATTATCTGGTGCATTTTTGTGTAGCCAGTTTTTCTTGATATACTTTTAAAATTTTATATTTGTAATTTTATATGACCAAGGTTTTATTTTGTGTAAATGAAATTGTTGACCTGCAGATTTGTTTCCATAGTGGTTTGCGACCCATTGCTCCATTCCCAAGGGATCTTGACTCTAGGTGTAATGTAGAAGGGAGGGCTATTTTCAACTTGTCAAAGGGAACTCATCTCCATAGGATTTCGTCTAAAGTACAAGCAGCCAAGTATTTTCACTCCAGTTTTGTTGAGATCAATGAAGAATCTGTTTCCATGGATTTGATTAAAACTCATTCCTGCCAAAATGAATTAGATAACATTAAATGCAGTATGTCAGATACTTGGAGTTCTACTGTAAATGAACCCCATCTTCTGGGAAGCAATGAACTAAAATATGTAGGAACCTCTGACTTGTTGCCTGTGGAAGAGGGCCTAAGTGACCTACAAGAGCAGCTGGCCGAAAATGCCAAAGATTTGATAGGAAATGCGGAACCTGAACCTTTATTGACTGTTGACATAGCACCTAATAATCTATCTGACGCTTTGGACTTGAATAACAGTGTGAAGAATAGCTTTGAGGAGTTTATTGCTGGGGTTAAGGAGTCTTTTGGATCCTCTTTTAATAAAGGAGAAAATGCTGTGAAAAGTTCAGTTGATACAATCACTTCGTCAATAACGGCAATCACTAAAAATGCTTCTGAAGCAGTAGATAATGCTGTTAGTAAGGTGTTCCCAACAGTGGATCAAACAGGAGAATTTGCAGGCAATAAGATAACAAGCTTTTCTTTTGACTTGAAGCAAACCTCAGGTGAAGCTACTGTTGTTGCTGTTAATTTGTTAAGACGTGCAATTGTTGCAGTGGAGGATTCTATAGCAAATGGAGCTTCTTTTCTTGTTTACTCTTATGGGTCTGCTAAGGAACTACTTCCTCCAGAGATCAGGGATGCCCTAAATTTGTCTGAAGAGAAAGCAGTAAATATCTTGAGGCCTATCGGAACAGCTTTTCAGCAGGTATTTCAAAATATCTTGAGGCCTATAGGAACATGTAGAACTTTACAAATTCTTCTAAGGATTATTAAATTTAAATATACTTGAAACAGGTCTATATCACCATTGAGGAGTTAGAGAGAAATCTTGGCTTGAATCCAGATGATCCCATTCTTCCGTTTGTTCTTTTCCTTGGCACGTCAGCCACTTTTTGGTACGGGTGTCCTTTTGAATATTTATTTTTTCATTCTTTGGAGGAAAAGCAGTCTGTTGCATGAGAAATTTATATTCTTTATCAGATGTCACAGGGTTTTCTATTGGCTGTGGGCGTATGGTGGATACTCTGGAGATTTGTCACCTAAATCAACTTTGGAGTTGTTGACAGGAAAAGAGAATGCTTTGTTAATTGATGTCCGGCCTGAGGCAAGAGATTGTAAAATTTTCTGGCCTTTTATTTATAGCATTTATTGTGTTTCCAACCTGTTACACCTATCAAAGAAGCTTAAACAACCACATCATCATATGCTTGTTTAATTCCACTTTACTTTAGGGCTTTGCGTTCTTGAACTGTCCATCAACATGTGATTTAGCCTGAGCCTGAAGGCTCAAAATATTCTTGTTCTTTTTATTTTCTTAAAGAAATTGTTCTCCCATTTTGAATTTGAAATATATCAACGAGCTAACCTTGGAGTATTAACTTGCTAAAGGTTCTAAGGGAAAGAGATGGTGTTCCTGATCTTCGAAGGACAGCTCGTTTTCGCTATGCAAGTGTGTCTCTACCTGAGGTTGGTGTCTGCATTAAAAAAATATTATTTACATAAAAAATATGAGGGTTTTTATTATTCTTGAGTTGTGAGAAGCAAGATTTTCGGTAGCTCAGGTTATCAGCTTCCTTGCTGATTGTAGAAAACAATGCTCAGTGCAAGTGCAAAAGAAAAACAAATGAAAATGAACTTCTGAACTCAGATTTATCTTTTTTTTCTTAGGTTATGCATCTTTTGCTTCTATCAGGTTTATGGTCCAGAACGGAAGATTTTCAAGAGTGCAAAGGAACTCAATGATGCTCTGGTTGCTGTTGTTATCCGGAACTTGAAAACAATTCCAGTATGTAGCTTCATCTCTTGCCTAACTCAACTCTCTACAGGTTTTGATTACTTTCCGATTGAAGCATATTAAGGGTATAAAAAATAAGATTTTGTTTTTGGTTTCTTTTTTTGTAGTTTAAAATTGTGCAATGTGACTCCAGCTTTTGCCACCATGGACATCACAATATTGTTCTATGATCCTTTCCATTTTCCAAGAGAAAATCACCAAGTCATGATTATGTTAAAAGTTATGCATTAACTACTAGCCCGTTTTGTACTTCTATAATTCTAGAAGAGATGTAGATTGCAAAAACAAATGAACATAGTGATTTTAGAATCAATTTCTTTTCTCCAGTCAATCACAGATGGTGCTTACTGATTTGTCTTAGGTGACTTAACATCTTATTTTATACATTTCTTGGAACTTTGGATGGGAAGTAAAGTTGCCTCATCAAGACTAACACAATAGCAAGGCCTCATGGGGTAAAAAATTTTATGGGGAAAATGCTCAGTTTTTAAAGTATTTTCTGCTCTTCTTGTGTTCCAATAATCTATTCCTTTGCATTTTTCCTTAACCAAATGTGGGATAAACTGATTTCAGAGCCTTATTTTCCCACTACCTGTAGGACAGGTCCAAGGTAATAGTTATGGATGCTGATGGTAGTCGTTCCAAAGGCATTGCAAGAGCACTGAAAAAACTTGGAGTTGAGGCATGTATCTTGATCCCTTAGTCTCTGAATTTTCCCAGGCAGTTTGCATCTACTAGTCACACATTTTTTTATGTACTCAGAATGTCGCTATAGGTATCTTTATGTATATGAGTCTCATGTACCATGATGGTTGTGCTTTTAAATATGTTTTTTGCTTTCTAAATGCCTAAAATTAAGAAAAAGGAAACTAGTCTCAATTTTGACACTTAAACAACTAAACAATGAGAAAAATGTAGTTGGGATAAAAGAAACCCCAATTGACAGTACGCGAGTTCCTATTTTGATTTCTGTAACTAACTCTATAAATTGGCTGGCCATTGTTTATTGATGGTGCTGTGTTTGTTTTGTCTTTTCTCTTTTTGATTTTCTTTTATTTTTATTTTTTTTAGGATACTTAGTCCACCCCTGCTGTACTTTTCTCTCTTCTTTTTTAATTATATATATCTTCTCCACCAAAAAGAATTTATGGATGACTATATGTGTCACTTATACATATATATATGTAATTGTCGATCATAACTGTTCTGCCTTTTAGTACAATGGAGAAAAAGAAAGAGTCTATTCAGAGTTCTTTAGTTACAGTTTGAGTATAGTTTCTCGTTGTTGTGTCAATGTGTGCAGGCTACATTAACCATGTAGTATTCTGATGAACTTAGGAAGCATCAACTATGTTGACCTGATCCTTGGAGCACTGTCTGTTTGAATATTTTTGAATTAGTGTATTCAAACAGATTGATAATTGCCTTAGCTTCTGTAATACTGGAGTTGTCTGATGTAATTATGTGGTTGCAAGTCTGCTTATGAACTAAAAATATCAGAAAACTTATGGACAGGATCAATTTGGAACAAAATTTTCTGCTAAAATAGTCAGATCTGCAACTATGAGGACCATTGTTGTGGAAGTAGTATGATGCTGGTTTTCACGTTTATTTAAATTGGATTCACTGCTACTACATGTGTAAAAAGTTAAACTCCATCCTTAAAATTGTGTGGCCTGAATTTAAGATCACTTAGTTACAAATTAAGAAAGTCCTAACTAATTGTTTGCTGGTGAATTACAATAGAGACCATATATGGTCCAAGGTGGGTTTCAATCGTGGGTTAAACAGGGTCTTCGGAGTAAGGAGCTCAAGCCTGAGACAACACTTACCATACTGAATGAGGTATTTATCCTTTGTTGTTTCATATTTCGTTTACTTTCAGAGAATTTTTTCATAATATGATCAAAATAAGTTCCTTTGGTGAATTTAATAAATTTAGAATGGATGAAATTGACTAGGCTATGCAATGTGCAGCATATATATTCCCCACAGTATTTGGTTGATTTATGATGCCTTTATGTAGCTTTCATGACTTGCTTTCTTTATATTTAGCAAGTTATCTATGCAGAGCATGAAGACCCTAAAGTGGAGAGTTTACAATATAGAAGAAATATTTATGCAATTTTGATATTTGTCTATTATTAGCAACGTTTATCTTTTTAGGAATATTAAGTGGTTTACAATGTTAGGAATTATTTAGAAATTTGATTTATATTCTAATTTAGTAGTTTCATTTGTATTCTAATCTAGTAGTTTTCTACAATTCTGATTTATAATCTAATTTTGTGATTTATTTTCCTATTTGTATGGTCTCTGCTTATGTATTGAGGGGGGGGGGGGGTTCAAATAATACTTATATTATTATTATTCTACTATTGTTAACAGTTCAAGCTACTTTTGGGATCCAATATCTTTCTTTTGTTCTTTGTTTTCTTAGTTTTACTTCAAAACTCTCTGTCCTATATCAATTCATGTGTATGCATGTGCATCTATATGTTAATCAAGGGATTGGGCTTTCATTAGTAACCTTAGCAATTAATACAAACAACACCTAACAAGGCGGTGTCAGGAACCTGACCTCAGTAGTGAAGAAATTAACGAAGAAGAGTTGCAGCAGAAGTAGAAAAGACTTTAGGAGAAGATAAGAGCAGAATCAGGGAGAAGAAAGGTTGAAAATGTAGAAGAGAAAAGAGGAATTGTTGTAGAGAGAAAAACTGCATTTTTTTGATTAAAATTTTCTTCTTCCCAATCACTTCCCACTCTGCCCTATTTATTTCCTTCTGCTCTATTGTAGGATAGAAGAAACAAATAATCCATCAATGACACCTCAGCCACATAATTCACCTGGTTAACTATAAATTTCACCTGGTCAGCCCTTTATTTCACCTAATCAGCCATACATTTCACCTGGTCAGCCATATATTTCACCTGATCCTGACATTATTCCCCCACGAAAATAATCCTTGCCCTCAAAGACTAGTACCTTCCTGCATTTGTTGCTACTCTGCATCAATAGAACTTGAATTTTCGTCACGGAACTTCAAGATATTGAATATAGCCATAACCAGAGCATCAACATGATCCAATTGACTTGCTGTGTTTGAAGCGGGGAACTCCTGGTTGATATTCGCGGTGGGACTACCCTTAATTTTCTCAGTTGAAAGTTTGTTAACCTTGTCCAAGTCAGGAGAAACTTTGGACCATGAGTCATTTTTTGCATCTTCTTCTATGGCATTCATGGACTTTGAGTCATGAACCTTATATCTGGTCATAAGATTCATCTGGCTGCCTGCACCTGTGGCAACAGAATCCTGAACCAAAGAATTAGCAACCCTACTACACTTCACAACAGCTTCTAAATTTTCAAATGTGCTTGAACCAGGAGATTGATCAGACCTTGATGGTGACTCTGCATCTGTAGACTTTTCTCCTGTCATTTGTAAGTGGCCTTTTTCCATCTCTGTCTTCATTCGACTAAAGCGAGCCATGTAAGTGATAGAACATAATGCAGCCTCCGCCTCAAGCCAAAGATTCTTATAGAGGAGAACTTGAGGTTGAGTTTCTTCTTCATCAGGAAAATTCTTAATAAGAACTTTCTTTATAGCATGGGTCATGTTATCATTTTTCACCTCTTCTGCATCAGCAAACACAACATGTTGATTTTTTACCTCCTGGGCACTCTGTTTGCTGAACTTACCCAAAACACCAGCTGCAAGTACCTTTGACATCTGAGGATTAAGCACACTCGGATCCTTAAGAGGCAAGACATTCAACTGTACACCTGCCTGCAACATCTCTATAAGCTGGTCAAACTTTTGGTAAAAGAGAGCTAATCTTTGATCGAGGAATGCTTTAGTCTGTTGTTGAGAGTCGTAGATCTCAGACATGAAGTCTGAGAGTCTTTGGTCAATCTCTCGAACATTTTCTTCTAGGGTCTGTAACTTCTGTGGTTCGCTCATCACGGCTTTCCCTTTATTTTTTGCCATAGCACGAAGTTCACTAGGGTTTTTTCTGGATTGATATGCTTTGATACCAGGTTTTCAGGAAACTGGCCTGAGTTCTAAAGAAATTAAGGAAGAAAAAGAGTTGCAGCAGAAGTAGAAAACAGTTTAGAAGAAGATAAGAGCAGAATTAGAGAGAAGAAAGGTTGAAGATGTAAAAGAGAAAGGAGGAATTGTTGTAGAGAGAAAGCTGTCTTTTTTGATTAAATTTTACTTCATTCCAATCGTTTCCAACTCTGCCCTATTTATTTTCTTCTGCTGTAATGTAGGAATAGAAGAGAGATAATCCATCAATGACACCTCAGCCACACAATTCACCTGGTCAACTATAAATTTCACCTGGTCGGCCATTTATCTCACCTAGTTAGCCGTACATTTCACCTGGTCAGCCATTTATTTTATCTAGTCAGCCATACATTTCCCCTGGTCAGCCATACATTTCACCTGGTCGTGACAGGTGGCAAAATGACTTTGATTTTGGTTACTTGATGTTAACAGTAAGCCAAGTATTTAGAGATTAAAAAAATTGATGTCGAAAATTTTCTGAAATTGTTCTTCATTACAAAGTTCTGGAAAAGAAGTAATGATTCAGTTTTTAGAATATTTTCCAGCTGGATTCGGATGAATAAGATGAGTGAATATACTATTTGTTAGTGCTTTTTAATCTGACATGTCTGAATTTCAGTTCTTTTTAATGCAAACTTCAACTATTTCAGGAAGCTGAGGCAATTCTTGAAGATATCAGTCCTACTCCATTTCAAGTTCTCGGGTTTGGTGCGGTAAGATTGGAATTTATTAATATCATACGTAAGTTATTAGCTAATATGTTATTGTTCATTGTGGTTAAAACCATTTTCAGAATAGTTTCTTAAATCCAGAGGGATGGGTCAAATGTAGTAATAATATTCTTTCTACTATAAAACATGCACAAAGGCCGGCCCCTTCTGGAGACTTCATCCTTGTAACATTAAAGTACTGCTGTCTTGGTGGGTCTGATAATCTAATTTATCATGCTTTCCTGGAGATTGAACATATTCAGTGGTTTTTTTAGATTTTCCATTTCTGAAACTCTGCTCTATCTTCTACTGAGATTAAATGGACCATGCATATCAGTTGGTTTGTTGATTACTGAATGATCATTTGGACTTAATTTTATGATTTTGATGCATTTTCAAGGGAATCTTTAACTAAAAAAATCAAGTCCCTTTATGGCAGGGTTTAGTTGCAGCATCTTATGCCTTACTAGGTATGTATATTTCGATATTATAAATGTATTTGTCATAATTATATAAGTGAATTCTACATGAATTGCATATTATTTTGTGCTTACATGCAAATAATATCCGACCTTTATGATCCATTTTCTAATCAACAAGGCCTTCGCTTTTAATAAATATAGGAATACCTTCTGTATATAATTAAGTTACTGGGGACAAGGTTAACCATAAATGAAGGAATGTCTATCTGCATCTATTCCTTTACACTAGTGAAAGAAAAATTGGCCTTTCAATGGAAAATGCTTCGGTTAGAACAATATGCTTTCATTACAGAAGTTTTGGCTGAAAATATATTTGAGATAAAAATGAAGGGAAGAGTATGATTTTACCCATTCTTCCTCCATTTTGCTATCTCATCTTTTAAAGTACAACTTTTTAAACTGAAAATAAATAACTGTATTCACATGGATGAAATTTTTTTTCAAATTTCCAACATTACTTCTTTCATCTCTAACTAAAGAAGAAAAAAGTTTTAAAAAAAAGATAGAGAAATTGAAAGGAATTAATTATATTATGCTTTTGACTCTTGGAAAATGGCAAGCACTTCGTGAGATCCCAAAAGAAGATGATGATAGTCAAAATGGGACATGGGAAATGTTATTGATTTTTACCAGAAAGTTCTTACTGACATAGTTTGGCATGTTAAATAATCACCATCTGTTCTTCTGTTGAGGAATAGGTATTATCAAAGCAAAACAAAGATGGAACCTGGTTTTTCTCTCAGCTATTAAATTGCACACCTTGTGTTCACTCAAAGGAAGTGCTGCATTGGGTTAAACATTTTGCAAGTCTATATGCATATAAGTGATTATGGGTGTGCTTGCTGCAAACATGCATGCAGCAGAGGATGTGAGGGAGGGTAAAACTAACTGTAAAATGCTTGCTTGTGTACAGTTTAAGTTGGCAAGTTTTCATCTAACTTTGGCCTTGACTTGTAAGACTAATGGCTTCTACCTAGAAAAGTAATATTTGCTTTTTACGGAATACTACCGTGCCTTCTATTTGTTCTTCTATCATGAAATAAGCATGGATAATTTTATTTCAGAGTGGGAGAAGACATTGCAACTTATTGGTGTTTTCGGCCTAGGGCAGGTACCATAACCGCATTGGAGTATTTTGGTTAAAACATTTTTTTTAAAAATTTTGACATTGATTGTGATCAAGATCCTAGTTAAAGTACAAGCAGTTTTCTATTATTTAGCTTGGGCATGCATGTACAATATGACATCATGCAAATAAATGCTAGATATTGAGTTCTTTGCAGTAAGAGAAAGTGTGATTGAACCTACAGATATAGTCCTGCTTTCCTTTGGGGAGGGAGTGGGGAGAACTAGCTCACAAGTTTCTTAAATAGAAAAATGGAGTTTTGGACAAATGGATCTATAATCATTTTGGTACTTTGATTGGGTTGATAAAGTTCATTATTTTTAAAACTGGGATCATCTGCTGGGGAATTCTATATCAGTACTCATATATTTTTCCAGTTTGCTGCATCTATGCTCGGTTTCATGTTAGGGTGATTGCTCTTTTCTGCAAATAGTACCAAGTAAATCAATTACTTCTACAATTAGGATCCTGATTCATATATTTGTTGTTGCTGCATCATTGAACTCAACCAGACTATATTTCGGCGGGTTGTTTCCTATGAGGGCCCTGAAGATTTTAGAAGAGATGTGAGGTAAGCCAGCTTCTATCCAAAAAAGATTTAACATTTGGATCAAGATTCATAGTCTCTTCAGGATTTTCATGTTTTTAATCTGCTTTGCAAGGGATTGAGCTTCTTGTCTATCTTACTTCTGTAGGAGGATATCTAATCTTCTCCTTCTTTGTATATTTTTCTCATTCTGTCTAATGATGTCATGTTTTATCGAAAAAGAAAAGAAAGCTATCTATTATGAATAACTTCCTGACCAGGAAGAAGCATTTGCCTTAAGATGATCAAACAATATTCTTTCTTGTTTCTCATGGGTGCTATTTGCTCATTTTAACAGGCCAACTGCCGATTAAATTGTCAAGTTTATCTTTTATCTGTGTTTTTTATGACTGTACTATATTTTATGGTACTTGTGCAAAAAAGGATCAAGCACTGTTCAATAGTCCGACTAACTGGGTGATACCTTAACATTTGAAGGCTATTGCTTGCTCCTGTTCGACTTGGAGCTCAGGCTTTCTCATGGGCAGCTGGGAAGTTAGAAACAAATCGCGTTGGCCTGCCAACATCACCTTCATCCTCAGACGTTCAAAGCCGGGTGTTGCAGGCTGCAGCTAAGCTTGAATCTCAACCATCCAACATTGAAGGAATCAGCCAAGATCCATCTCCAGAAGGGATGGTTCCTATTAATGAAAACATCGATCTTTCTGAAGCATAAGGATTGGAGACCTCTTTTTTTGGGATTCTCTCTCATTATCGAGATGAGAAGTAGATGAGTTGTAATGTGGGTGACTTCAAATTTTAACGGTTCGCTTGATTTGGATGACTGACCCTTCTGTGCAGATATGGAGAATAAATCTTGTATATTTCCTAGGAGGAGTTTAGAGTCCTGTTGCCTGTACATTGTGTCTTACTTCTTTTTTGGGTGAAACAAAGAACTTTTTCTTTTGAAGTTTATTAAAAATTCAATAAAATGGCTCAACCTTACTCATGATTTAATAACTTTTGTTATAAATATATGTAGCTGTTAGAAATAAAAAACAACTACTTTTTTTTAAAAAAATTATTAAATAACAGCAGGAATTATATAAGTTATGATTTTTAGAATTTTCAAATGAAATAAGAACTATGTGTTGAGAGAACTTTTCTTTTGAATCCTAATAACTCTTTAAAGCCTACTATATGATATAACCGAAAATATTGATAACACGAAAATAAAGATTTAAGAATTCTTTGAAAGACTGTAATTTTACATTCAAATGTAAACGAAGTAAATTTTATTATGAATCCATGTAATTTTTTTTTTTGTTGGAGAAATATATGATGTTGAACAAAACAACTTCAATGTTGAAATTCATAATTTTTATAACATTGACTATTTACAATTTTAAATTCAAACGTCTATTTTTTTTTTTTAATTTAGTCACATTTTGAATGTGATATAACTTTAATTTTATAGAAAAAAAATTAAAAAATTATCGGGATGTGACATAATTTTAACTTTTTGAAAAAAAATAAAAAATTATAATATTAATCTTTTGAAAGTTGATAACTTTACACCTAAAGTTTTTTCTTTTTAATGATTTTTCTCTTTTATGTGATGTTTCAAGATGTAAATCATATTGCTAAAACAACTATTACACTAAAATACTAGAAAATAGTTCTTGCCCATGGACTAAATTTCATAATTATAAAACTGTAAAAATTTAAAATTTTGCAATCAAGTGTCTCGTTTAAGATTTTTTATTATGAACTCGTGTAATATTTCAAAAGTTAAATGTAAATAAAAATTATAATTTATAATAATAATGTTGAAAATGAAAAAGAAAAAATTGCTTATAATCTTAAAGATCATAGCTCACAATTTTGGAATTTTTTTTTTAATGAATGATCCTAATTTTTCAAGACTTGTGAAATGAAATTAAAATATTCATGGTATTAAAATTGCTAAAAAAATATAAGTTAAAAGACTATGCATTTTGAAGATTACTTAACATTTTAAGATGTCATTTTTACATTCAAGTATCTTCTAAATGACACAATTTTAAAAATAAATCTAATGACTTTTTAAGAGATATTAAAATTTAACAAAATGATATAACACTATGAACATTTATGAGATCAGATCTTTTGAAGCTTACAACTTACACTCCAAGTATATATTTGGATGATTTTTTTTTTTTTGAATCCCCATTACTTTTCTAAAGCTATGAGATGATATTGAAAACATATGAAGAAAATAACTTAGTAAACTACGGATAAAGCTTAGTTTTCGAATTTCAAATGAATTCATGTAATTTTTTCAGAGTTACGTGATATCATTAAAATGACCCATGAACTATAAACTACGATGCTTGAACTTTCTGAAGCAGCAAAATTTTACAATCTTCTAACAGATTTGTATGACTATATGATGCTATTGAAACAAACGTAGCAAAATTATCTACAAAACTATAATTGTTACCCATAGTTCTAAAAATTTTGGAAGTCCTTACTTGAGTCTATTCTTGGGACAAGTTTTCTTTCAAGTCCATGTAACTTTTGAAGTAGCCTGGACAGAATTGAAACAAGAATAATATTGAGATGCAAGAAAATTACCCAACAAACCACTCGAAATTTTACAGTTTTAAATAGATGTAACTTTCTGGCAGAGTATTAAACTTACCGTTTTTCTTATAAATTCACACAATTTTTCAGAACTTTGAAATCAAAACAGTACCGCTCAAATAAAATAACTATAATATTGAAATTTAAGAAAATAATCTATATAAATAAATGTGAATTTACAAATAAATTGTACCATATTTCTGATTTTGTTCCATGGATAGCCTTAATAAAAGATCTTTGCAAGCCAAGTAACCCGGGTGTCCTGAAATTTCCTCTGCTCTTGACAACCTAAGTATTGTTTATTTGTTGATCTGAACTTGTATTTCTTTATCTATTCACAATTATTAGTTGAAGATCTTATCTCTAACATGATTTATACTAACAATAGTAAGACTTTTCTCACTTTTTTTGCTTTTATTCAATTCTATTCTTAACTCATTCTTCCTCTTAAATTTTATATTAGTCTTAGACCCAACGAATTACAAAATGATTTTGATGTTTGAGCTTATCATCAACCCTGTTTTGAATTTAGTGGAGCTGAGATCACCTCAATCATAAAAATCATCTTGTAATTTAATATGTCATGACTAATATGGAATTAAGAGTACAAATTATTTAAAAATAGAATAGGAATTGAACTAACACGACCTTGAATAAAGAGAAATGGGGTAAATATTTGTCTGACCTCATGGTTAACTAAAGCAGGAACTTTATACGTAAGGCCAAACAAACTCGAAGAATTCTTATTCCTTCTCTGCAATCACCACAAAAACATCTTCAAACGACCATTTTCTTCTCTCATTTTTTGCTGGTGGATTGATGACAGCTCTCTCAGCATTGGCCAAGCGATAACCGATGACAATCTCTCTCCTTTGTCTGGCTCTTAATAATATCTCGTAGAAACTTAATTCCTCACCTTCTCGAAGGTAAAGATCTGCTTGTCTTATATGCATCTCATTGCCCTGAAGGAAAAAAGCAAGAACAGATATGAGCTGTTACATTGTGTAATGTTTGACCATGTATTTCAAAAGGATTGATATAATTGAAACTTCAAATTGCTAACAGAGCTTAGAATGCATAAAACACTAACACAGGTTTTAGTAAAGCGTGTGCTTCAAAAATTACTAGTACCAACTACCAACAACCTCTTCATCATAATTATGTGAAATGATATTGGCTGAAGTCTCAATAATCAATTACACATAGGTTGCTTCATAAATCCTACTTTGAGAATTTTCTTCATCAAAGATTGTATCATTGATAAGCTTTTTCGTGGAGCATAAACAAGAATTTGATAAGTTTACTTTTTTTTTCTATATAAAATTAGTATTATTTAGAAGAGAAGAAAGAAGAATTTGATAACATTTCATGGTTCTCTTATTTCAAGAATTTGGGCATTTTTTGCACATCATAAAGCTTTCTTAATACTAGAGGTGAATATTTTCTCGAAAAAGAAAAAAAGGTTAACTGTGATAGGTCTCAGTAATGCATGAATTACAAATGGACATGTATCCCTAAATTTGCTGTGTTTTATCTGTCATAAACTAAATACAACTATAGAAAGATTATTGATTAATAACCCAGAGCAAAAGCTTTTCTGGCTTAGAGTTTTTGATTTATTATCTGCAGAAGATGTATAACTCTTGAGCAAACTTTCGACCCAAAATGTTGAAATATTGTGAATCTTCATGTAGAGGAAGACTGGCATATTATAATGGTATTGATCTTACTATTAAAGCTGAAAAATTGTAACATATTTATGGGGATACCTATGAAAATAATAGGAAAACTAAGAATATGAACTCAAATATATAGAAATCTGACTATTTATATGGAAAAAGTCTATGGGCAACATTTATTATTCCCTAATAGACAGTAGGCGAAATATTCTCGTTCTCAAACATTCATTATGAATCCTTAATTTCTCATATCCATAACATTTTTTTACCATAAGAGAGAGCTCAATTTTCCTAGACTATCCTAAAGATTGTTCTTATGGGTTGGGGACTAGCATCTAAACCATTGGGAGAAAATTGCATTGTTCTTTAGAAGTTGGAGTACATTGTCATTTTTACCTTCACATGACCTCAAGAATAATTCTGGTTTTCGAAGAAAAGAAAGAAAAATAACAATGCTGGTTTTTCCACTTGATGCAATTAGATTAAGCTCAATCATAAAAAATACCTCCTCTGCAAAGAGCTCTTCCAGTACATCATTTATTTGTCGATCCTCGGCAACCATGGCCAAAGCCATGCTGACAAGCTCATTTGACAAAACATAATCACTAATCTTTGACATGGCAAGCATATTTTTAGTCCTTGGGTCCAGAATTTCACTGATTATTACCGACTTATCAGAAGCTTGCTGCATCTCCCCAATCCAAGAGCCCCAGTGAACCCGTGATGCCATTGCTTCCCTATATGGGAGACGTTTTGCCTGCAAAAGATTTCAAATTGCTAAGTGGGAAGAGAATATAAAAGACGAAAGAATAACAGCAATAGATTTTATGGACCTCCATCATTATAACAAAGAAAATTAGTTCCCCATACCCATTATAAGATGTTGTGGAGAGAAGCTCTTTTTCATTGGTTTGTGGGGCTTATGGTTGGGATGTATTGCGAGAGAGAAACTTAGAGAGAGAGAAAGAGAGAAGGAGCACGGAGGCAAGTGGGTGCGGTGGGGAGAAGGGGTAGCCAGATAGGAAGGAAGGGGGGCTGGTGGTTAGGTTGAGGAGGTCTTTCGGTTGGCCGGCTGGGCTGACCAGGAAGGGAGGAGATCATGGTGCAACAGA